CGATGGTGAATCCACACGCCCCTGGGCAGAGCGGGGCTAATTTCAGGTCGGGCATGTCCCCCTACAGGCGGATTTGGGACGAAAAAAGTAACAAACAAATGCGAATATTTCTTTCTTTCTTTCTCTCTCTTTCTCTCTCTATATATATATATAGAGATTAGAATGAAACATCGTCCCAGATCTGTTTGTTACTATTATTGAATACTCCTCCTGTAGAGGAACACGCTCCTGGGCAGGGCGGGGCTAATTATCCAACCCCTATCGGCCATCAATGCGCGATGGGGGGTCGACGCCATCCCTCCCTCAGCCGATCCCTAGGTCGGAGGGAGCGCGTTTCACTGGCGCTTGCCTTGGGAATATTCGGCGGCGCGCTTCGAACCGGGGGGTGGGCCCCCCCCCTCCCCCAGCACCCGGCGCCGTCGATCAAAACCAGGGGGACTTCCCGCCCCCGTAATTAACCCCCCCCCCTACCGAACCCCCCAACCTCCAGGGGGCGGAGTTCCAAACCCCCCCCATCCCCCCGGCGTCGGCGCTGGCGCCGGCGGCCGCCACAGCGCCAACGCAGCGACGATGACCAGTGAGGGCCCAGGAAAGGGGAGTGGGGGTGTTTCAGCCCCCCCCCCGCGCCGGCGCCAGCGCTGGCGTTGGCGGCGGCCAGCAGCGCCGACGGCAGGGACGCAGCGACGATGACCAGAGAGGGCCCAGAGGCCGCAGAGGGAACACACAAATCGCCATATCGAGCCCTCGCATGCTCGTCAGAGGCCCCCGAGACCCTTCTGACGAGACCTCAAGAGACATCCATTAGAACTCTGACCCAAAGCCCAAACACAGTGGCGGGAAGAGCCGAAGGCCACACCACCACCACCACCACAGACCACCATGCCACCACCAGCACCACCACCGCCACCACCACAACCACCACCACAACCACCACAACCCTCCATTACCACAACCATCACCACCACCACAAACCGCCCCACCACCACCACCACCACCACCACCGCCACCACCAAAAACGCCACCACCACAAGCACCACCACAACCCATCAAAACCCACCACCACCACCACCGCAAACCGCTACACCATTACCCCCACCATCACCACCACCGCCACCATCATCACCATCACTACAACCCACCACCAACACCACCACCACAAACCACCACACCACCACTACCAAAACCACCACAACCACAACCAACACCCAACACCCACCACCCACCACCACACTTACCAGCAGCACCACCGCCACCACCACCAACACCACAGCTCACCACCACCACCACCACCAGAAATCACCACGCCACCACCACCACCACCACGGCCACAACCACGACCATCACCATCACCACCTCAACCCACCCTCACCAAACCACCACACAACCACCACCACCACAGCCACCACCACCACCACAACAGCTCAACACCACCACCACCAATACAACAAACCACCACCACTACCACCACCACCACAATATACCACAGCACCACCACCACGCCACAACCACCACCACTACTACCAGCAGCACAACCCACCACCACCACCACCAACACAAACCACCTCACCACCACCACCACCACCGTCACTGCCACCACCAGCACCCCCGCCGCCGCCGCCAGCCGTCGCCGACGCCGTCGCCGACGCCGTCGCCGGCCGAGAGCGGGGGGGTCCTATTCCAAACCGCCCCCCTCCACTCCAAGCGACAACAAAATGCGCTCTTTCTGAGGTCGGGCCTGTTCCGCTACGAGGAGATTTGGGACGAACAACTAAATAGAGTTAGAAATATTCCAAAATAGTAGAAGAGATGATAGAACAACCGTCCCCAGACTATTTTTTATCTTTTTTTGAATATCCTCCTGTAGAGGGACATGCCCGACTTACGCCCACAGCCTGGTGGCCTCCGGGCTACAACTCGGGCCTCCATGCGGCCGCTCCCGACGAGCCGGGGCACTGCCCCGGAGCGTCCTCGGCGAGGCGCCGCCGGGGGAAGAGGCATCCCGAGGCCGGGAAACTGCGGCGAGCCGACGAAAGCAGTCGACAGCCTGGCACATCGAGCCGCGCAACTCCCAGACCACCTCGCGTTGTGAAAAAAACAAGACGCAAAGTTTTTCATTATTTTCGGCCTCTGGGGGCCCTTCCCAGGCCTCGGGACCGTCAAAAAACGACTCAGGATGAAAAACCGGTCCCGGGGAAAGGGTCCAAACCTCTGGGGGTCGACGTTGTGAAACAATCACAACGTCGGGGGTCTGGGCTTCGCCCCCCCCCCCCCCGCCGGGAACCTGCGGCGAGCCGACGAGAACAGTCGAAATCCTGGCACCTCGAGCCGCGCAACTTCGCCCCCCCCCCATCGAGCGTGTCCCCCCGTTCTACACCCGTCGGTCGGAAAGTGGGCAGAAGCAGGAGGCAGGAAGGCGGTGAACGCAGAGCGAGTTCCCGCCCCCGCCTCCTGCAGAGAGGGGTGGGAGAGGAAACACCGCTCGACTCCTGGAGCAGGAGGGCGCCCGAGGCAGAGCGGGGCCTGGGCATCCAGACAGACCCACTTTCTCAGCGACCGCCGTGCAGCGCGGACCCTGAAAATGGGGGCCTCCGAGACCGGGCTCTCAGATGGCGGCCCCGGGCAGGGCGCGCGGACCCGGGGGTGGGGGGCAGGGGGGAGAACTGAAGGGGCACAAGGAGACACAAATGAACACACACACACACAAATCCCAGGATTCCCCATGTTTTCCATATGTTCTAGAGTTTCGTCTGGCCCCCCCACTTCCCACATTTTCCCTCACTTTCTGGGAGTTGCTTCCCCTCCTGAATCACATGAATCTACACAAACTCCATGACTGTTGAGACTGATGCCGAGCCTCTTGCGCCTGTTCCGCGTCCCCTCCATGTCCAAGGATTCCGCATATTTTCTCCTGCAGCAAGCGGTTACGTGCGCTTCGGCAGCAGTCCACTCCTGGCGCACCATGGCCCCAGTCATGCTGCCCCTCCCCCCCCTGTCCTCACCCCCCCCTCTCGACGTCTGGCGGTTTTCAAGCCATAACTCGGGCCTCCAGCGGCCATCCGGCACGATCCGGGCACCACCGGAGAGCTCTCGGCGCGGCGCAGCTGCTGGGACACATCCCGAGGCTGGAACACCGCCGAGGAGCGACGGCAACGACCGAGAACCGAGAACCTCGCACCGTCGAACATCACCCCCCCTTGTGGAGGCCTCCCACGTGGGGTCCGAGTAGATGGGGTCGGAAGATCGCGCCGCATCGCCGGTGCATCGCCCCAGCGCAAGTCCCACCCGTTGCCGTCAGCCGCATCGCAAATGAGGGCCGAGGTGAACGCCAGGATGACTTCAAGCTTGACCCACTGGAGCCGCTGTTCAACCCAAGTGCCACGGATGCTCGACACCAAATCCGTACCCTGTGCCTGCATCCTCCATAAAAAGGACAACGCACTGCATAACCATGTTAGCTAGCGTGGAGCCCAACCAGTACGTGTATGCACTGTGGATGTGTAAGCTATGTGGTGTATGCAATGTGGTGCAAGCTATGTGGTGCAAGCTAATTATGCGGTGCAGGCTGCGTGGTGTAATCAAGCTGTGTGGTGCAAGCTCTGAGGTGCCAGCTGTGTGGGGCAAACTGTGTGGTGCAAGCTATCGAGGCGGCCTCACGTGCGGCAACAGGGCGGCAACGGGCTGCATCGTGGGGAAACCTCGGCGGACCCCCCAAGCGCAGTGGGCGGCAGCGCGGCGGCAACGGGCGGCAACGTGGGGAAGCCTCGGCGGACCCCCCAAGCGCGGTGGGCGGCAACGAGGCGGCAACGAGGCGGCAAAGTGACGACACATCGGCGGATCCCCCAAGCGCGGTGGGCAGCAACGAGGCGACAGGGCGCGGCATCGTGGCGAAACCTCGGCGGACCCATCCAATTCTGCAGTAACCGAAGTAAGAAGACTTAAACGCAAACGCTGTCTGGGGAACCGTCTTTCGGAGGAAAGCACGGGTCCATTGGCCCGGCGCCGGACCCCCTTCCTGGCACGCGAAGCGCGCCAGAGGCGGCCCATGAGGCGCCGACAAGGGGGGCCAGGCGCCGATCCGAGAAATCCGCGAACATATCCGGGAAACAAATATCACGCCATTTTTGTGTCCTCGATCCCGATCGCGACGATTGCGACGATAGCGACGGCGAGGACGAGGACGAGGACGAGGACGACGACGGCGACGACGCACGGTGGCGCCGCCTCGAGGCCGCCCGGCTCTGGCAGCACCGTGGCCATCACGACGAAGCTGTTGAGCACGGCGAGCGTGGCGCCCACGGCGAGCCTGGCGAAACGGCCCGCCGTGCCGAAGGGGGGGGGGCGCAAGCGGCCCGAGGGCATCCAACGCGTTGTCGCCGTCGTCGCGGTGGTCGTGGTCGTGGTCCTCGTGGTGGCCGTGGCCGTGGTCGTCGTTGTGGTCGCGGTGGCCGTGGCCGTCGTGATCGTCGTGGTCGTTCCACGGGGGGATCCCCGCTCCGCCGCGCCGCCGAGGGAAGTGCGCTCATGGCCCCGGCGTCGAGGCCCCATTCCGTGGAGGCCGCCCAGGAAGGAAGGCGGGCGCGAATTAAAGGGTGGTGATAGCAGGGGGCAAGGTGCCCTTTCCTGGCCATGAAGGCCTTGGGGCCCTAAGGGCCAATTGAGGGGCCCTAAAGCCCACATGGGTCCTTTTCGGCAGCCTTTGCCCCCCAGTTGATTCGCGCCCACTGAACAGGCGGGGTCGGGCGACAAGCGACGCATCGGCGATGCATCGGGGCGGAAACATTTGGACCATGGGTCGCGCCGCATATCGCCGATGCGTCGGCGACGCGGCACGATCCTCCAACCCCGCGCGCGGTGGCCCCGTGTGGGCGGCCGAGATTCCCACGCGACCGTCCTCGCGAACAGGATTAATCCGACGTTCAGGCCCCGCGCTAATATTTATTGAGATTGACCCTCGGTCTTCCCTCTTCGCCCTGTCGCCTGCTATCCTCAGGCACCTCACTTGTCCTTCCTTCTGGCCAGGGCGTGCATATTGATTTTCATCGGCGCCCTCGCCGCCGCGGCCGGCAGGGGCGCATTCTCCGATTGCCAGATCGCGGAGCCGTCGGGCCAGACCCGCGGGGCAGGTCTCCGGGCCAACCCCGCCGGCCACTGGGGCACGGGGGCCAGCCGTCGGGACAAGCCCGCAGGTCTCGAGATGATCGCGGCCGCGCTCAGGCGGGGAGCAGCGCGAAGTTCGGCTCTGCAGCGAGACGCTCCACCGCAGCCCTGGAGGTCACTGCCGCGGAACTCATCGGGCGCCTTCCGCAGGGGCGCCGGCGGCCCGCGCCCCGGGAAATCTCGCGCGGGCGACCGTGGCAACAGCACGTTCCGCGCGCGCGTTGCGCGGGATAACAAAAACAGAATGCAGCGCCCTGTCGCAACAGCATGGCGACCTCTTGGTAGCTCGGAGACTCCTTGAAGCCGCGCGCCTGCATCCAAATGCCACGCGGCCGGTAGCGGGGGCGAAAGAGCTGGTCCGGCGCGCGTTCCTCGAAATTCCGATCGCCCTCGCGATGGAACTCGAAGGGCGCCCGTGGCTCCTCCGCGAACCCCACTTCTTCTTAGGTTCCTCCTGCGAGGCCGTGAACCAAACGTCCATGCCGACGTGCGCTGGCAACGCGCCGTGCATGTCCCGCGTCTAGTGCATGTTAGGGGCGTTCAGGAAGCGCCAGCCCGCGTCTGGATCGCCATGAACCACGCTGCGCTCGTCTGCGGCCTGCAGGAAAACGAGGGGCACGCCGAGACGCTGGGCGTCGCGACGAATATGCGTTTTGGTCCACCTCGCCAGCGTTTCCCAGTAGATGCCCATGCCGTCGCCGAGGCGAACATTCTCGTGCTGGTGCCGAGGGTCCAGGACGCCGTGACTATCCGAGGCCAGCGTCTTCTCCCAGGCAAACCTGACGTCTGGCGGGAAGCACTTGTCCTCGCGCGTGCAGCCCAAGAGCATGATCAGAGAGTCCCGGGGATCGAAGCGCTGCGTGCCCTTCAGCTCGAAGACGCAGGGGATATGTGAGAAGACCTTTGGCGGCACGTTGGATCTCCACCGTCGGCGGTTCCGCGTGCTTGCACGAGCCATCGCCATCGCCCAGAAGCTCGCTCACATCCGTCGACAAGCCGACGCTGCCTGTGGGCTTCGGATGCAGGAAACTACCGACATGGAACACGATGGGGGCGCGACCGAAGTTGGGGTTCGGCCGCTTGTAATTTGACTCCTGCTCGCAATTCATTTCGACGACGAAGGCCCCGCCCAAATCATCCACGCGTTTCGCGGGTTTCCCAAAACCCTAGATGTGGAAATCCTGCAAAAGGGGGGTCCCGCTCGTTGCGCCCACACGGCTCATTCACACTCGCAGCGCCCACTCGCTTCGGGCCTGAAAATCCCAATTGCGACGACTGTTCCAACATTCCGTTGGCTCGTCGGATTGATAACATGAGCCGTGGGCTCCATAGGGAGGGGGTTCCCATATTAGATATCCTCGTGACTCACTCACATACGAGGCTTCCGCCTGAGACTTCTTGCATGCTCAAGCTTGAAGATGCTGAGCATGACGACAATTGCAAGATTCCGATGGCCCGTTCCGATTTAGAACGTACGCTGCGGGTCCCATGGGGAGACGTCCTCGAAATTCACTCACGAATGAAGCCCCCGCCTGAAACTTCCTCTATACTCAAGCTTGCAGAGGCCAAACGCGTCGACAACTACAGGGGTCCGATGACCCGCTCGGATTAATGACACGAGCGGCGGGCCCCGCGTGGAGGGGCCCCCGCCAGAGACATCGTCGCAATTCATTCACAGAGAAGATTCTTGCCAGATAACAATTTGAAGAAACCGAGCACGTCGACAACTACAAGGTTCGGATGGCCCGCTCGGCTTAAAAACGTGAGCGGCGGGCCCCATGGGGAGGGTTCCCGTCTGAGACGTCCTCGCAATTCACTCACAGACGGGGTCTCTGCTCCAGCTCAGAGAAGCCAGCTATGATGAAAGTGACAAGACTCGGATGACCTGCCCGGATGAGTGGCATGAGCTGCGGGCCCCATAAAGAGGGGGCTCCCGCCTGAGATTTCCTCGCAATTCACTCACAGACGAGGCTCCCGCTCGGTCGATGATCACGATGGGATGGTGATTGTGATGTCGACGGTGGCGCGCGATGGTGCTGAGGATGGCGATTCTAATGCTGGCCGATGATCATGACGGGATCAAAGCATGAGAACGGATGGGTGATGAGTGAGTGGGTAAATGATGATCATGTCATGCTCGTAGTGTTGAGTGTTGACGATGGTGGCTGGGATGTTGATGTATGGGTGCGTGCGAAAATAGGGGGTGACGTGAGGTGGGGACTGCCCGGGGTGACCAGACAAAACAAGAAACCCACTGAGGAATTGAGGAACATCGAAAAGCCAACCTGCGTTTGAAAGCCAGAGCCGTCACGCAACTGGATCCTGGACGAGCCACCAGCCCCAAGGCAGGTCTCCAAGGTGCCTTTTTCTCCACGCCACCAGAAACCTGTCAAAGACTTTCTGGGATACAAGGAATACATGGGCTATCCAAGGCCCCGTCCCGAGGCAGGAGTCTAGGGTTCCACGGGCCAGCAGAGATCTGGGCGGAACACCTTGACTTGCAGGGTCGGCCCGCTGGGCTGGGGCCACGACGATGGCTGGCGCGTTCTCGGCACTGGCAGGCCGAAGGCTTCCCACGGTGGACTGAGGCGACGTCACGACGAACAATCATGCCGCTAGGCCCTAGATGCAAGGGGCCCGGAAGAGGAGGAGGAGGAGGAGGAAATTGCGATTGCGATTGCGCTGAATGCGGCGACCAAGAGCAAACCTGGGCGCACTGTTTCCCGCCCAGCTTTAGGGCCGATCTAACGCCCTACATCTCAATGGGCGGGTAGAAGATAATGGCGATGGCGTAGAAGACAATGAGCAAAAGCACCGACACGATGCAAACCGCAGTGACGAAATAACAATGCCCTTCCAACAACAACCCCAGGAAATTGGCGAGCTGCATGCTCATTTCGACCACCAGCCAGAGAAGAAATTGCCTCTGTGTGCTACCCACTTCCCTGATCGAGGCAATTCCTTTGGGCATCGTTTCTGGATGGGCTGGTGGGGATTCGCGAAGCGTCAACAAGTAAAGTTGGAGCGTCGGATCTAAGGGTCTGAGTTTGGCCCACTGGGCCCCTGAAAACCTGCGCCCAGGGGGCCACTGCGGTGAAGGGCCACTCCCAGCCCAGACATGCGACGTCCTGATTTTTCCAGGACGGCGTCCCTGGAAGTCCCGACCCTTTCCCCGGGACGGGTTTTGCATCCTGAGTCGTTTCTTGACAGTCCTGGGGCCCGGCGGGGGCCTCCAGGGGTCGAAAATAACGAAAAACCTCCCGTCCTGATTTTTTCACGGCGCGATCGTGTCTGGGGGCCTAGCCGAAGCGAGCTGGAGCTGCTCCCCGCCCCTGTCATCAAACCTGCCGGGGCGACGTGCGGGACCACAGCCGCATGTCCTGCCGGACCACCACCAGGACGAGCCACGCGTACGGCATGGCTCCAGCGAGGAGGGCTCCAGCCTGGCGCGCTCTTGATGCCCGGGCACCCAGAGATCCAACGTATTGAAAAATCAAGGCGGAAACGTTCCGCAAATTTCGGCCCCCTATAGGGGTCCTCGCCGGGCACCGGGACCGTCAACAAACGGCTCGGGATGAAACACCGGTCCTGGGGAATGGGTCGAGACTCCCGGGCACCGCGTCCTGCAGAAATCGCGGCAACATCGGGATCTCAGGGCAGCTGGAAGCACAGAGACTTGGGCGCCCGAGTTATCCGGGGTAACTCGGGTCCGGGGTAACTCGGGTTTGGATTCCCGAAAAACGAACCCGAGTTAGCCCTGACCCGAGTTACCCCTGATGATTTTGGGGCTCTGGACGCCCGAATTATCCGGGGTAACTCGGGTCCGGGATAAATCGGGTTCGGAATCCGGAAAAACGAACCCGAGTTATCCCTGACCCGAGTTACCCCTGATGATTCGGGGCTCTGAGAGACGTTGGCCTCGAGGAGAAGCGGGCCCTGGCGAGGAGGGGTCCCGGAGAGAGCACCGGCAGGCATCCCCGTCTCCGAACCCCCCCCATGGGGCCCTCCGCGGGCCCGAGGAGCCGTCCACGGCAACTCCGGGTGAGGAGCGCTCGTCCTCGGGAGGCCCCCGGGGTCCGGGGCCCCTTGCACTCGGGGCTCCTCTAGGGAGCCACGTGCGAAGCCTACCCCTGCCCCCCCCAGGATTGCCGAGGGGGAGGGCGGGGTGCACTTCGCTCGGGAGCTCGCGAAGGAAGGGAACCCCGCCCTCCCCCTCGGAAATCCTGGGGGGCAGGGTTCACGTGCGAAGCCTACCACTGCCCCCCCAGGATTGCCGAGGGGGAGGGCGGGGTTCACTTCGCTCGAGAGCTCCCGAACGAAGTGAACCCCCCCCCTCAGAAATCGTGGGGGGTAGGGGTAGGGTTCGCATGTGGCCCCCTGACTCCAATGCTCAACGGATCGCGTGGCTGGATTCACCCGCGGAACATCAGAAGCAGGGAGCTGGACACAGACGCTGCGGGCCGGCCACTCTTATCCAGCAGTCGCACAGGTGGGTCACGTTCTGTGTAGCTTCCTGCCTGAATTCTATGTATCCATTCTGCCTTTTTGTCCTCCCCTTCCTCCTCCCCCTCCTCCTCCTCGAGCGCGTCGGCCCTATCCCTTCGCCGCACTCCCTCTGTCCGCCCCGTCATCCCTCCGCGCTCATCCTTGCCGCAGCGCCCCTCCGGGCGACCGAGCAAGTAGCGGACCACCGCCCAGGAGGAAGGAGGAGGGAGGACGAGGAAAGCGAGAGGGAGGGAGGGAACGGTGGGGGGAGGGAGCACGAGGGGGACGAGAGAGGGGCCCAGACAGGCGACGTCCGAATTATACCAGGACGGCGTCCCAGACCCTTTCCCCAAGGCCGGTTTCTCATCCTGAGTCGTCTTTTGACGGTCCCGGGGCCCGGCGAGGGCCCCCCGAGGCCGAAAATCGCCAAGAGCCTTCCGTCCTGATTTCTCGTGCAACGAAATCATGTCTGGGGGGGGGGAGGGGGAGGATGCGAAGGGAGGGAGCCGGGGCGAGGAAGGCGCAGCAAAAGCATGGGGGAGCGCGCGGGGAAGAGCGGGGGCGAGGGGGAGAGACTGGGCGGCGGCGGGAGCGCAGCGCGCACGTAGGGCCCCCACCCCCCCAGCTATAGGGCCGGCCTCGGGGCCGCGCGCCTCTGCCGTCGAACGTGCTCCTCCTCCTCCTCCTCCTCCATCTCCTCCTTCCTCCTCCTCCTCCTCCTCCTCCTCCTCCTCCTCACTCCTCCTCCCCTCCTCCTCCCCCCTCCTCCTCCTCCTCCTCCTCCTCCTCCTTCCTCCTCCTCCTCCTCCTCCTGCTCCTTCTCCTCCTCCTCCTCCTCCTCCTCCTCCTCCTCCTCCTCCTCCTCCTACCTCGGCCAGGACGGCCACTGCCTCCTGTCGCATCTTTTGAGCTGGATCGCTGCGTGATGGCCCCGAAGGCCCGAAGCCGGGCGAAACAGCGCCCTGCTGTCGGAAGCAATGCAGCGCCCAGGCCGCGGGGAATGCCCGCGGCCCGCCCACTCTGGGCCCAAGGCTCGTTGAATCTGCCGTCGCTGGTCGGGCGACGAACTCTATGCATATCCACTGCTCCCTGGCCAGGCCCAGCCTGAACCCCCGCAGCGGCGTGTACGCCACGTTCTGGCCAGGACGGCGCATACTGGAAGAAGAAGAAAAAAAGAAGAAGAAGAATAATAAGAAGAAGAAGAAGAATAAGAAGAAGATAGTAATCATACTACTAATACTGATACGAGTAATAAAACAACAACGGCAATAACAATACGAATAATAAGTAATGATACGGGAAAATCACGTAAGCGTTTGGCGTTCCGCGCGGTTTTCTTGGATGGCCTGGACCCCCTTCCTGGCGCGCGGAGCGCGCCAGGGGCGGCGCCGGAGGCGCCGCTCGGGGGCCCCAGCGCGGATCCTAGGTGGATGCTTTTGCCGTTTCTTCTACAGTTCCTGGGTTCAGAATGGGCCTTGCCAGCGAGCAGTGCACACGCATAGACTCCGCCGCCCGACCAGCGACGGAACGGCGGCAAAAGCGCGAGACGCCCCCGAAGGGCGGCCCCGAGACCGCTCGCCCCGCGCCCTAGCGCCGCGCACGTCGTCGCCGCCGCGCGCCGGCTGGGGGCGCCAAGCGGGAGAACCGGCCCACGGCTCCAGTGACGCCCGGGGGCTGCCCGCCGTGACTGTTCGGGCAAAGGCCACGGATAGGTGACGAAATCCTAACCCTGCCCCATTCCCCTGGATCGATTGGAAGCGGGGGTACGGCTCGGCTGTCGCTACATGTTCGACGAACTCCGAACAGGACCCCCGCCGCCCATCGATTTGCCTGAATCGTTGATCGGCGAAGGTAGGGTCCGAATTTCGTCGCCGAGCAGAACTGATGATCCCCCTGGGAAAATACAGGATTCAAGTACAGTGTGGGGCTCGACCGCGAGAAAGTTCCACAGGAAACCCAACCCTGAGCGGAGTGCACTAAATCATCGACGGGGGCCCACGCTGGCGAGCGTTAAGCGGGCAGCTGCTCGACAGTGTTGGCTCCGAGCACATCTCACACCTTGAGAGACCCCGGAAGCTCCCGGGGACTCCGCGAGATCGGGGGTCTGGGCCCGCCAAGGCCCTGCAGAGTTTCTCCGCCCGCCTGCGCGCGGAGGGCGCGGCGGCAGACCTCTCCGTCACCGTCGCCTGCGCTCGCAGTGTCTCCTGGCTGCACCCGTCTGTTGGATCCCCAGGTCCCAGTCTGCTTCAGGCGCCTTCCTGCGTCAAGGGTCGAGCAGTTTTCCCTTATTTCCATCCTCTTCAGGGGGCGGGCGGAAGCCCGAGTCTGCTTCCAGCGCCTGCTCCCCGTTCACATCTCTACCCAACTGTTCCGACCGACGGGTACAGTGGAGGCCCATGCCAAGAGACAAGTGGTGTAGGCTATGTGGCACAAGGTGCGGGGGGGGAGTCAAGCGGTGTGGTGCAAGCGATGCGGCGCCGGCTGTGTGGTGCAAGCTGCGTGGCATCAGCGTACGGGGTGGACGTTGCGTGGCGCAGGCTATCTGGAACGCGCTGGGGTGGTGCAAGCTCTTTGGCGATGGCTTGGTGGTGGAACAAGCCAAGCACGGGCCAAGCACGGGCGGCCAGGACGCGCTGGGAGCACCCAGGGCGCCGACCAGGAGAAAGCCGAACAGCCAGCCACCGCGCCCATGATCGCACACGGGGCGCCAACGGGCGACAACCCAAGGTCCGTGTTTTTGTTTTGCGACGCGCGCGCAAAGCGGTCAAGCGCCTCGGCGGAGCCGTGCCTAGCTCAGGCGCGTGCGTCAACTTAGGCGCGGGTGATAACCCAACGTCCAACCACCGCGCAAAGGGGTCGCCCGCGAGGTGCCCACGGGTGCCCACTGGGCGAAAACCCAACAGCCAGCCACCACTCGAAGGGGGGGCCCACGAGGCGTCCCTGGGCGCCCCTGCGCGAGAACCCCACACACACAACCAATTCGAACCACCTCAAAAAATAGTCAGACCTTCTATACCAACTTGAGTCTGGACCCCCTTCGGAGTATCATCTGTACTCGGGAATCCCGCAGTATCCGCAGGACGAGGACGAGGACACGAGCACAGAGGGGGGAACGAACGACAAGGCGACAAAGAAGAGAACACCCGGGGCTGCCAGGGAGGCGAAGCGAGCTGGCATCCACTGTAAAAACTGCGAGCACTCCTAAGTCGCAGGCGCTGCTTGGGGAACTTCGCCACACACGCAAGAACAGATGACCAATGTGCTCGGCCGCGCTCCGCGCGACGGTCCAAGCACCAAGGGACTTCAGAGCTCCAGGACGACACCAACAAGCCCCCGAGAGCTCCCCAGAGGCCCCCCACAACGGCGCCCCAAAACCTCAGGAGACGCCCTACTTTGAAGGGGCCCTGGGACACACAAATAAATACACACAAATAAAATGATTCCCCATATTTTCCTGTATTTTCTGGGTTTTTGTCTTCCCGCCCAATTCCCATATTTTCCAGCATTTTCCTGGGACTCGACGATTAATTGTGTCTGTGTGTTTCTTTCCCTCCTGATACTTAGACTGGAGAACCCGCACCCTGCCGCAGGGCGCCCCCCTGGAGGCTCCCGGGGCAGGGCGGCGGAACACGGGCCGCGGGGCAACCGCCTGTGCTCTGCCACGGTGGCCCCCAGGAGACCCGCATGCGTCTTCGCTCACGCTGGCCCCTCGGTAGGGAGCCAGATGCGAACCTACCTAAAACGACGCGAAGATCGGGACAAAATCGGATCGGGATAACTCGAAATCTCTGAGAATCGGCGGGTTTGGAAGACGTATTGGGCGCCGCGGCCGCTCCAGAGCGTTCCGGAACGCTCTGAGAGCGCTCCAGAACGCTCTGGAGCGATTTATCCCGATCCTAGCCCTGTTTTACTACCCCTTACCCCCCACGATTTCTGAGGGGGAGGGTGGGGTTCACTT